CGTAGAACATGTGGCGGCGGACGGCGGGGGTGTGTCCTCTGTTGTGGACATGTCGCGGGTCCTCTGCCGCTCAGCGCGACTGGGCGGGCGGGCCGGGGGGCTAATGGGGGTTGGCGTTCACGGAGACCTGCGGACATGCGGGCGAAAGGACATCGACCCCGCGCGCGCTCGGCCAAAACAACTTTCACGCGGCGAATTTCCCGGCATGCTGAAGTTGGGGACGACAACGTCAACAAGGGTGGCGAACGACGCCCTCGTTTTGGATCCCCTCATCTTTTGTGTTTTTTTACAGTGCAGTAATGGCGCGTTTGAGACAGCAACCCCAGCACCTTTGATTTTACTCACACGGCGTACCTACCCGCCCTGTGCTCTGGGCCCCCGGAGCCGCTGGGAATGGGAAAAGTGGGGGAGGGGGGTGCTGAACGTGGCGGGTGCAGAGGGGCGTACGTTTATAACGGCAATTTATCGTGTTGGATGGGCGGTGGCTATTCCCTGCTCCCGTCCGTCCGTATACTGCTGCCCCTACCCGTGTGTGTGTGTGTGTGTGTGTGTGTGTGTGTGTGTGTGTGTGTCGTTTCGAGCAACACAGGTGGGCTTTGCCCAGGCCTTGTTGTGTTGTACCCACCGGCCTCATTCTTAACGCCTTGTTTAGCCTTTCGCGCGTTTAGGAGCCTGCTACACCCCCTCCTCCATCCCCCACCCCCCATTTTCAGCCACCACCCTCCCGCGCTGTTGCTACAACATCTAGGCTCGACTGTACTAACTGACCCCATGCGTGCCTCTCCCTTCCCTTGACCGATGCTTTTCGTCAGGTGGATTCAGATTGTTGGCACGATTACTCCCATTTCCCGAGTTTAACGTCTGTTTTAATTCATTGTTTATTTCCTGTTGTCATTAATGCGACCCATCAATTGTTCCAGGTTCCAGGCTCAAATCCGCTTTCGTTCGCAACTTCTCTGACCTGTCAAACGTCGGTAAAGCGTGCTGTATTACTGTTTTCCCCAAATAACATAAGTTCTGAATAAGAAAGGCAAATCCACAAACTGTTGTATCGTAGACCTGACTGTTGACTGACAAATACGGTAATTTTTAAAAAAATAATTAATAATAGTTAATCGTTAATTATTAATAATAGTCTGAATGTCTACTTAAAATTCGCTCCCTACCTTTCAAGTTAAATGACTTCTTTGCAGAGTTACTACACCAACATGTCCGTGCGTTGCAAGGTCTGCCAAAAGATGTATAGGAATCTTAGAGCCCACATGAGAGTGCACACTGGTGAGAAGCCTTTTGAGTGCGCCATCTGCTACATGAAATTTACGCTACAAGGTAACTTGAAGACTCATCATCTCACCCACACTGGTGAGAAGCCTTTTGAGTGCGCCATCTGCTACATGAAATTTACGCTACAAGGTAACTTGAAGACTCATCATCTCACCCACACTGGTGAAAAGTCTTTTGAGTGCGCCATCTGCTACAAGAAATTTGCGCGTCAAAGTAACTTGAAGAAGCACCTTCCGACCCACACTAGTGAAAAGTCTTTCGAGTGCACCATATGCCTGAAGAAGTTCGCTCACCCAACTACCTTGAAAAGACATGTTCTAACACACACTGGTGAGAAGCTTTTTGAGTGCACCATCTGCTTCAAGAAATTTGCGCTACAATGTAACTTGAAGACTCATCTTCTCATCCACACTGGTGAAAAGTCTTTTGAGTGCGCCATCTGCTACAAGAAATTTGCGCGTCAAAGTAACTTGAAGACTCATCTTCTCACTCACACTGGTGAAAAGTCTTTTGAGTGTACTGTATGCCACAAGAAGTTCGCTTGCACATCTCATTTAAAGAGTCATGTTCTAACCCACACTGGGGAGAAGCCTTTTGAGTGCGCCATCTGCTACATGAAATTTGCGCAACAAGGTAACTTGAAGACTCATCATCTCACCCACACTGGTGAAAAGTCTTTTGAGTGCACTGTATGCCACAAGAAGTACGCTCACACATCTCATTTAAAGACTCATCTTCTAACACACACTGGGGAAAAGCCTTTTGAGTGCGCCATCTGCTACAAGAAATTTGCACGACCAAGTAGCTTGAGGACGCACCTTCCCACCCACACTGGTAAAAAGTCTCTCGCGTGCACCATATGCCTGAAGAAGTTCGCTCACCCAACTACCTTGAAAAGACATGTTCTAACACACACTGAAGCTTTTTGAGTGCACCATCTGCTTCAAGAAATTTGCGCGTCAAAGTAACTTGAAGACTCATCTTCTCACTCACACTGGTGAAAAGTCTGTTGAGTGCGCCATCTGCTACATGAAATTTACGCTACAAGGTAACTTGAAGACTCATCATCTCACCCACACTGGTGAAAAGTCTTTTGAGTGCGCCATCTGCTACAAGAAATTTGCGCGTCAAAGTAACTTGAAGACTCATCTTCTCACTCACACTGGTGAAAAGTCTGTTGAGTGCGCCATCTGCTACATGAAATTTACGCTACAAGGTAACTTGAAGACTCATCATCTCACCCACACTGGTGAGAAGCCTTTTGAGTGCGCCATCTGCTACATGAAATTTACGCTACAAGGTAACTTGAAGACTCATCATCTCACCCACACTGGTGAAAAGTCTTTTGAGTGTACTGTATGCCACAAGAAGTTCGCTTGCACATCTCATTTAAAGAGTCATGTTCTAACCCACACTGGGGAGAAGCCTTTTGAGTGCGCCATCTGCTTCAAGAAATTTGCGCTACAAGGTAACTTGAAGACTCATCTTCTCACTCACACTGGCGAAAAGTCTTTTGAGTGCACCATATGCCTGAAGAAGTTCGCTCACCCAACTACCTTGAAAAGACATGTTCTCACCCACACTGGTGAAAAGTTTTAAGAGTGATACCATATGCCAAAAAAATTTCACTCACGCGTCTATTTTTAAGAGCTACGTTTCAACCCACACTGGTGAAAACTCTTTAGAGTACAACATATACCACAATATGTTCGCTCACCTATCTACTTTGAAGAGATATGTTGTAACCCACATTTTTGAGATTTGAGACAACTGTATTTTCCTTTTGTTTCCGCCCGTCTTTGTACGTTCGTCGTGCCCAACTGGACACACACTTAACTCTTGTGCATTTTTTGTACATAAACATACAGAATTATAAGCAGCCAGAAGTCATGACTTGCAATTATGCACTTTTTATGCTTAATTATGTACAGACTATACATAAGTATGCTTGGATTGAACATACTTATGCATGAAATTGTACATAATCTTATGGCTGCTCATAATTCTGCATGTTTATGCACAAAAAATAAACAAATGGATAAAGGTTTATTGATCATAGTATGAGAAGTGTTTCTTTGATATAAAGCTGTCTTCCCTTTGTTTTGTTTTTATTACCGGAAGACGGTTAGTAAAGTTTGAATTCGTACTTCGTGTGCTGTGATTTACCATCCAAGATTCCCAATCCTTATCTTTCGAATTATAGAACTACATATCCTCATTATGACACTACTTTTCGAATGCTTGGAATTGGTCGTGACGAGCAGAAGTGGTCTGTAGTATATTCTAAATACCATACCGATCGTAAATTTAAAACAGTTTGCAAATCTTAAATTACCCAAGTGAAAAGCACGCTAACTAAGATATTTATATTTAGGGTGAATTTGGCTGAAGCCGCGGGTCGGATCACGCGGCCAACAACTATACCGATACGAAAGTGTTTTATTTCCGCCCTTGTATGAGTTGGTGGCGTCTTTACGGGTCGCTGCAGCCTTGGTTGGTGGGGCATCCTTCAACTCTAGCTGCGGTATCCCCAACCGCGCAAGACCAGCAAGACGGACGACGGCAGCTGGGCGAGGAACACCTCCCACGGCTAGCGCGGCCGGGCTGACACGGCCCCCTGAAGTGCACTGCAGCCTGTTCATTTCAAGGAGGCGGATGCTGCCCCTCAGCCCCTCGGCTGGGGGGAGGGGGCGACGGTCAAGATAGAATGGGCGGGTGAAATACCGCCCTCTGCACACAAACCTGCTGGGGGTGAATATGTGTTGTTTAGTTCCCGCTACCCTACCCTATTTCTTATAATGTCTGTCTTTTAAATAATTGCTTCCAACTCACGTCATGAAAGGGAACTCGCAGTGGCGCGCCAAAATGACAAAACATTACTCGCCTGGCGCGCGACGGGTAGGCCAACCCGCCGAGCTGCTGTGTCGTGAGGACGGCGGCCCGCCTAGAGCGCCCCACTGCGGCGGGAGGCTTCGGGCGGGAGAATCCCCGAAGGTTCGTGTCGCGACGCGTCCCTTCTATGAGGACGTTCACTGTGCGCGCTGGCACCTCATTTCAAGTATGTGAAATTTCATTCCCGCTCTCTTTCGAAATGTTCGTACTTTCCTTCGGTCGCTTTCGGAAAGAGGGCGAGTACCCGCCACTCGCGCGCGCTTTTGCACGGCCTTTGATGTGGTTGTTGATGCCGCGGCGCTTTGCCCGCCCTTACAGCTCCCGAGTGGTGGTGGTGGTGGGGGTCGCGACTGCACGTAAAGCGTCGGGTCATTATTCGCAGTTGCGACACTCCAAGGCCAGAGGGCGGGTGCGGTCGTATCTCCGCGTGTCTCTCAACTGTAGGGGTGTTTCCGTTAACGGCCGCGAGGGCTCCGAGGCGAGCTGCTGGAGGGCCCTCTCGCCGCGTCTATAGCCTTCTCCACGCAGCGGCGGCGGCGGCGGCTTCTCGCCAAAGGCCCCTAAAGAAGATTAGGCGAACGACGAGGCAGCGGAATAAAAAGAAAGAGAAGCGGGGGGAGCGCCACGGACCTGTGCGCTCGTCTCTCTCTCTCGCCCAGCTGCTGCGCCACGGACCTGTGCGCTCGTCTCTCTCCCTCTGCAGGGGCAGTAGGGCAGAGGCGTGCCGGGCAGGTTGATTGGCGCGGTCCTGGGCTCGATATCCTGCTAGAGGGTCGTCGGCGGTCGGGCGGTCGTCCTGCGGACCTGGCTGCCCGAGCCCAAGCCCAGCCAGCTATACCTCCTCCTGTCCTCGGGGGAGGGGCGACGACCATACGGCGCCGGCGGCGGAGGCCAGGATTGGGGTCGGCGACCGAGGAGGCGCGCCGTCCAGAGGACAGAGGGCACGCCGGTGTGGTGGTGCGACAGCCGGGACCTCCAATTGGCTCACCGTCGGAAAGCCCTCAGGGGGGACTCCGTTTGTCTGTTTGAATAACCGGGCGGGCCAGACTGGGCAGCAGCGGCACGAGCAGAGGAGACCGTGAAAAGCTACCCACTACCCACAATTTATTTCTGTCTGTCTGTCTCTCTCTATTTCTCTTTCTGTTTCTCTCGTTATCTATTCCCCCCCCCCCCTCTCTCTGTCTCACTTCCTCTACTCCTCGCTCCCCCTCCTTTTATTCCTCGTTTGCTTGCGTAATCAGAAATTACAAGTGAGTGGCTGGCTGACGATTCGTCGAGATACCGTGATGATGGAAGGAGCAGCTGAAAAGAAGGAAGAAGGGGGGTGTATAATAAAGTCGACAGTCTTAGAAAAGGGACGATGGAGATTGATTTATGCAATCAAAGGAGAGGCCATTTACAAAATCCTGAATGAGTTTGAGCAAGACTTCAAGCTAAAAGCGTTTCGCTTACAAAAGACACAGACATTTTGGTAAGTATTGTAGCTATACAAAGATGAAAGAGGTTTTGTCGTAAATGGCTCGGTTCACATTATTTACAGTCTTTGACCAACCGATACCGGCGGCGTGTATATACATTTAGTTATGTCATTTAGCACTAATCTTAACAACTAGTAAGGTGTACTAATCCTATAAGGTTCTCTTTTACAAAAATATAAATCTTAAATAAATAGTTAACGTGTTTCGTCTCTAGTTCAGATCTTGGTGATGTCGGTGTCCTCGTCGCTGTACTCCGGGAAGTCCATCTCCACCTCCACCTCGGCGTCGTAGTCCTCCTCGCCCGTCATCTCGTCCCACTCCTGCCGAGGAAGGAAACCGTCGTGTGCGAAGACACAACAAACGAGCGTAAGTAATTTTAATTAAAAGGAAAGTTGCGAAAAAATAAATTAAATGG